AACTCAAGTGGGAGTATGCTTATTTTATATTCTAAAAACAGCTACAAATGACTGTGACTGTATATTTTGGAGTATGCTTATTTTATATTCTATAACAGCTACAAGTAACTGTGACCGTAACAAAACCCCGAACCTTTACCGCCAGCTTCTGTGTTGTAGTTGTTGGTACGTCCCTCTCCCTCGCCAAAGACCTCAGCTCGAGTATCGTGCGGGGATTATCTTTTTCGAGTACTTTTCTCTTTCTACTCACTGATACGTTTTATCCCTCTCAGCTTTTTCACAAAAGTCAGCTAAAATCGTATTTCACGCTCGCTGCACACACTGTGAGACGCGGGAACTGAAAACTCTCTGTATTGATCCTCGTCAGCTCTTTCCGAACAACACGTGCGGAATCAAATCTTGGACAACCAAGTTGAAAAGTAACCCAGAAATGTAGGGCTCGATGGGAAAACGCGCTATATCAATTTACAGCAAAACTGAGAAAACGAAAAAAAAAACCAACAACCCACAAACAACAACAAAAAGTTAATTCTAAAAAGTAGAAGCATTAATATGCGTAAGGCAATTCTATTTAATTATTCTTTTTTATCATTTTTTTCTGCTTCTGTTACTGTATGGAATCTAGACTTTCTCTAACGTGTAGTAATTCCTGTTCCGTGGTTAGATTGGCTTTTTAACCTAACGTTTCTCTGACTCCGGCTATCCACGTTTTTCTCGACCTGCCCTTTCTCCTGTATTCATAATTTGATTTCTCGTTGTATGCTCTCGTTGTTATACTGTCCGGTGGTAGTCTTGACAGATGGCCAAATCGTTTTTTGCCACTCGTATCTATGTAGCCTACTCCAAGCTGAGAGTTGAACCAGCTTGTTCTCTATCTCGTTTCTCACCCTTTCATTTCTTGTGATATGCAGGGTTTTTTTTAAAGGTATCTTGTTTCACAGGTGTTTTTTTTTTACTTTGGTAACTCTTCTTTACTATCGATATATTATGGGCTTGGAATAAAGATGCTTTTAACAAGTTGGCACTATGTTTCCATTGGGCTGTTGGGATGTGAATGTCATGGCGCAGTTGGTAAGTCAAAGCATTGGCAGTTTTAATTTTTGTTTTTATTTCTCTGTTCATATTTCCGTCTTGGATAAACACTAGGGCTGGCTGGGTGAATACCCGGGTACCTGGTTAAGAGCTCAAAACTGGCTATGTGGGTATTGGTGTCGAGTTCCTGGGTAAAGAGCTCAAAACTGGCTATGTGGCTATTGGTGTCGGGTGCATGGGTTTTCTACTTCCTTTCGTTAAATCCTACGCAGTTGCACTTAAATTACGTTCTCTCGTCGGAGCCTTATTAAATACTGAGTACTTATTGACACTCAGCTCTCTTCGCCGATACAGTACTCGATACTGGCCAATATCGACTAGTGCCCAACACTACTCGAACCTCCTTTCCATGGATGAAACCAACAGACCACAAAAAGGCCATATTTGGGCATGTTATAAAAAGGTTTCCAAGAGTCGATCGGATACTTTGGTAGGGCTAGCCCTATACTTTCAGTTTCAAATTCCTTATATGGGCGCAACTAGAGTACAGTTCTAAATCACCAGTCCTCCTCCCCCTCAAAAAAATATCATTGAAATGTGGGGTAGCCGACGTGTACTCAGGGTTTTTTTCATGACCCGGATATTACCCAGATTAGTATTATTGACCGTGTAATCCTGGCCCTTGTAAACACACTTCCGGGGTATACGGACTGTTCTCCTTGCTTGTTGATGTTACTTCTGTCGGCTGTGACGTTCAGTGAGTCTGGTGTTTCGCTGAATTTGATTTTGCCCTCTTTTATGTGCTGATGTTCATGTTGTGATCTTCGATGCAACTGTTGTTCACTTTATTCACGTGTTATTGGAGATTCTAGATGTCGCTTTGTTTGCTCTGTAGTTCCCTTCTTTTTGGCATTCCAGATTCTACTCTCGCCAGACTTCAAAAGATTCAAAACAGGGCAGCAAGACTTGTAACTGAAAAAAATTTCAGACCATGTCCATGTAATTATTTTGATGGAAATGTACACACCGTCTCGTAATTTAAGATCTTCAAATGACCGCCAGCTCTGCATGCCTAGGCCCAGAACAATGTTGGGTGAAAGGGCCTTTTCCATCTGTGACCCAAAACTTTGGATAGATTTGGATTTAGATGTTAGAAATGTCTCTTTCAATTGATCAATTTAAATCAAAGTTGAAGACAATGTTTTTCAGGAAAGTAAATTTATAATGCTGGAACTCTATAATATCTGAAATATAGATCTGTCAGTTATTTTTTTGTTTTTGTTTTTGTTTTTTGTTTTTGTTTTTTGTTTGCTTTAAAAAAAAATTAAGAATGTAGTAGTGGTACTGAGCTTTAGAGCTTTTGTGTATGTTGTGTGTGTGTGTGTGTGTGTGTGTGTGTG